CCTAAAAAATTCTGTTCTGTTAATTTTTGTAACATGGTTACATAAATATTTTATTCCACCATCAAACTATACCATATTGCAACATAAAAATGGGTATTTTTAATTAAAATTATTGATGTCGTTGTTAACCTTTACAATATAAAAAAGAATTACCTCCCCTTCCCCATTTTGTAATTTTTGCAAAAAACCTTTTCACTATTTAATTTTCAGTTATTAGTTTATCAACTCCAAACAGCTTATTTTAATTTAGGTTTTAAACTTTGCATATTTACAAGTATTATTTACTCATTGTTGTTTTAAAAGTATTGTTTATATACTAGTTCTAGTTTCAAAGTTTGTGTGTTTTTAATTTTAAAAAAATTTCGCAAATATTAAATGAGTGTTATAGTCTTAATTAAATGAGATCATATTTTTCTGATTATCATGTTTTTTTATAAATTTGTTTTCTTTTAACCTTAAAAGAGCAAGTAGCTACTTACAACGCTGTCCTTAACTCATATTAAATGACGGATGAACTTACAACATGCGTATAATGCCAATGACATCTCATCATTTCACAGAAACATCGTATGTTCTTGCATGTTACACTTCTTAAGCAGATTTGGATCGCATCCATGTAAACTAGTGAAATGTCTAGAATGTATTAAATGCTGATAACACTTGTCTAATTCCAATAAGATTAATATTTATTTACATTTATTCATATTAAATTTCACAAATAGAAAATCAGCCATTGCAGCTTGGATGTCACAGTGGCTTAAGGTTGCCACTCCACTTTAAAATAACTTGATGATGATGCTATAAATCAATGTGACTGAAGTGACACTACACAGTTAATTGGCATATAACATTTTTAGGACACTTTTAAAGATTTAATGCTGAATGAGATTTTATAAGTACTTTTGTTTTTGTGTTCTCATGTAATTTTAATACATATGTTTTAGAATAAATTTTGATACATTCTTTGTATTATTTCTTCTAATGATTGATCAAATTTTTGTCAGTCCATTTTATTTTCTGCCTGAGATGTTATTTCAACTGCAATTCATTTTATTCCCCCAATATTTTGTTTTAAATAATAGAGTAGAATCCATAAATCCGCAAAGCTTGGGACCAGAGGTTGTGCGGATTAGGATTTTGCGGATTTAGGACAGAAAAGATAATCATAATATCAGACTCAAAGTGCAAAAATTAAGGCGTATTAGATATTTTAATAATTATTATATACATTATTGCAATAATTTATTATTGCATTAATTCTATTACATAATAAATTGATTATATTATTCATTGTTTATATGTACACAGATCCAGGTTGCAATTTCGCCGCATGCAAAATTTCTGGATTCCGGTGTTAGAATCACTGGTTGCGTCAAAATTCAAAGCTTTTCTTTATTTTTCCATATATCATACACATTGTGCCGCAATTCCATCTTCTGCTATAACCGGAAGTGGAACCTGCCTCCATCTTTTGCAGAATTTTGCACTTTTTTGCATTGTCGTCAGTAAGTGTTTATGTTTTTCAACGTTGCAAGCAGTAAAATCATGAGTTGTTTTCTTATCTGTCATTGTATTAAAAAGGGCTGAAATTTAAAATATTCTTAATTTATACACAGAATATGAGGATAAAAAAAAGGTAGTACTAAATAATATCGTGAAATACAAAACTCAGAAAATACAACAATGTGAATCGTGAACTTGAAAGAAGAGTTGAGTGAATCATCTGCTTTTTTACCTCGATGCAGATTATAGGGAAAAAACTTTTATTTTGATGTCAGTAATTTGATATTTCCGTTATTACTTATTATTATATTATTCAGTAAGTATTTTTTCTTCGATATTTCGTACTCAATGTTGCAGTTTCCAGAATCTAAACTGAATGTTTATATTTTGAGAGACAATGCGGATTTCAGGTCGGCAGATTTTCGATATTTGACTGTACTGATATCTTATATTAATATTATTTACCTTAATTATTTGAACTTGACATTGAACTATTCTTTCTGTTGAAGTTAATAGAAAATTATATGTTCCTTCTTAGAAGAATTTATCACTGGTCTCAGAAGCATCTTGTGTAAATTGTTGCTGCTTTAACCATAATGGTCAGTTACTCCTTGTTGGTTCTTCTGATGGAACATGTTCTATTGTAGGTAAGTTGAGATACTGCAGGTATTCTGAAAATAATATCAACCAACATGCTGAAATTCTCTAATTTGAAAACTGTTTCAAAACTGTTCTGTAATTTGAAAAAATAAAACAACTGTTTCATTCTTTATCAATTTACAAACATACTTGTTTGGTTAAGTGTGTACTTGTTTACCAAGTGTGATACTTGTTTACTTGATTCTTGATACCAAGTGTGATACTTGTTTGGTTAGGAAAAAAACTGACTTATAACTTGTGTACAAAAAGTTTTATATGCATCTGAGAGATTTATTCTGTTTGTTTTACCATAGTGTTGAAACAAAAAAGAAAAATTTTATGCAAATGAAAATAACAAAACCTATAGATTCAAAGTTTTGGTTCAGTACTGATGATATGTGCAGGAAATTAGTAAATAATTGTTTTTAATGATGACTGGATACTTGCTTTACATAATGATCAGCTTTTTAAACTTTTAAATATCCATGAAAGGTTAAGTTATTAAACCCTAAAAGAATTTCCTTTTTAATATATCACCCATTCAGATGAGCATGTCCTTTCAATGTGAATTCTTTTCTGAGTGAAATGTCAAAATATATTGCAATACTAAGATATATTGCAACTTCAAGCAATGATGAAGGCTACAATTAATTGCTAATAATTACCAACTCAAAATATTCTTCAAATGGGGACACTGATTGTATGACACATATGACAACAAATCATTTTCCAATCAAGTAAAAATTACTATAAATGTTCATTGCTTGTTCACAGTATAATGTTTCCAAGTGAATGCTCAGAATTGTATTCCTTGAATATCTTGAGTATGCCAAAAAATACTTTAAAAGCAATTATTCAAGTTACATGTGGTTATAGTTAGTATGAAATTACAAACACTAGATTATTTATGGCTGAAACATATCACTTATTTGAGTGAGTCTCATTTCTGCTTGTGGTGAAGTAGTGTGAGAAAACTGATGCGTCATTAACTGTGTGAAGTCTTCTATAAAGATTGCGTTCAATGTCCAAATCAGATCAAAGGCTGTGGTGGTTCCAATTTGAATAGGAGTTTGACATGTTTCAATTGGCAGAAAATGGGTCCTTTGATATGATCATGTGTTTAAGTGCAGGAGCTTTTAAATGGACTATAAACATACTTTCGTATATCATCTTTTGACTGAACAACACTAACTGTTCCACTTTCAAGAGGCTAAAGAACCATGTTTTCTGAACTGAATTGTATATGTTTTTCGCAGTAAACATTCAAAAACATTCTTTTATTTAATTCTACTTGCAAAAATCCTCAGATATAAATCCAAAGAAAATTTATAGGGCTGTGTTTCATAATGAGGTAAAAGCCTGTTGATTCATGAAACCCATATGGTTAAACTGTGATATCTGTTCCTGTAAAAGTAGTTAAAAATTGATATTGCTTGTATTTGAAAATTGATTATCTGTTTATTGTTGAGTCCATATTTCATTGAAGAATAGTTGCCAGAACCTCAAGGGCGTTAGACTTCTACTTTCAGCTGAATTTTGAGGGAAAGCATCCCGAAGTCTCCAACCTCTCTTCCCTGCTACCAAACCACACGAGAGGACTTTTGGCTTGTCATATATTTAGAATGCCCACATGCAGTAAAGGCACTAAACATTTGCAAACATTCATGCCTTCTTCAGGATTCAAACTGGCTCAGCTATGTCAGTCAAAGTCACTAACCACTATCCTGTCTGGGCTGCTTTTATTTTTTTGAAAATTTATAGCATGCATATTAGAATTGCAGCTGTGCTTCCATTTCATAAAGTTATATTCTGTTATTTTAGATTTTGGGTAGTGTTTGTTTTGTCTAGTGCTGTTTTACAGTACAGTGTGAAATTCTTCATTGCAGAATACTATTATATCAAGAAATGAAAATTTTTTCTGCTGAAATATTTCTAATATTCTTTCAAAATAATTGAGGCAAAAAGAAACTTTTAAAATTTATCATGTATTGGCCACATTTAAGAAATTTAAGATTTAAAAAGAGAAGAAAAGATAAAGTACTTGAAATCTGTAAGCTATTTTAATTCATGACACAAAACTCTCCTCCATTTTTTTAAAATATGAGAAAACTACTAAATATATTATGCATTTTGAAATCCTTTTTGTATGTCAATAGTAAACTGTAAGAATTATGTATTAGTGTTATATTATTAATAATATATTTATTTATTAAAGTAATAGTTGTATTAAAAGATATCGAATTGATCTATAACTATCCCAGTCTATTGTTTATATGAAAAAATATAGCAGCTATATATCAACATGGATATCTTCATTTCAATACTGTCAGTGTAACCATAACTATCATTGTTATTTCTCTTCAAGCAAAATACTATGTGTACAAAATACAAAACAGAAGAAAAAGAGATAAAAGTCAATATCAGTAAAAGAAAAGAAAAAAGAATTATACACTGTTTCTTTTTTGATAGGTAATTAAATTTTTCTCCAGTTGAATTTTCTTTCCCTTTGGATTTCTTATTCATGGAAATCTAAAAAAATATATAAGCATACATTAAGCATGTTATGTTGTGAATATTTCTCTTCAAGCTAAAAGATGCAAAATTTCGCAGCAATGTCTCTTAGCAAAGTCTTGCATTTTAAAAATGTGTGTTCATGTATATGATCATTTGCACAGCATGCAATAATCATATTATAAATTTTATGTAAAATCCTGACTGAAAAATACATTTCCATCGTTATTCAGTGTCTTTCATCTTATTAAATTAGTCATCATAACCAAGAAATTATTATAACTAATAGTCATGCTAAATTTCCCCCCCCCCTAGATCTGCGTACATCAGAAATTATTGCTAAATGGCAATCACATTCTGGGAGTGTTTTGTCAACTGAATTCAGCCCTGATGAAACATCATGTTATACTATGGGCACCGATGGAAAAGTAATAAATAATTTATTGCTTCTTTATAATATATATTTGCAAACATTTGATATAGTAGGAAGCTATTATTTGCAGGTTTATATTTTTTTTTTACATTAATTTTAATTTCAGTTCTTTTCATGGAGTATTAACGTAACAGGTCATAAACTTTGTGAGCTCAAAGTACACCCGGAAGCTACAAAAACCTTAACTAATGAATCTGAAGTCATCAATTCTTTTGGGAAACGTTTCTGTTTTAATAATGATGGAACACATGTTTTGACCTGTGGACCACTTGGTGGCATTATATATAAGGTTAGCATTATTTATTTTTTATTATTAAAAACTGAGTAGGATTTTATTTATGAAGATAAAATGCATGTGCATAACTTTAGTTTGTTATGGACAGTTATGTGTCTATACTTATTTTCATTCTCTTCTTGGCATATTCAAAATTATTCTTAATTTAAAGATTGAATATTTCTGTAATTATAATTAAAATTTCTGTAATAATCAAAATTTTTTATTATTATTAAATAAGGGTTAAAAATAAAGTAAATGTGAAAGATAAGCTTAAATTATGGGGCATGTAAGGAAACGTTTAGATTCATGAACTGAAATATCTGGATGTTCCCATAAAATTCAATTAAGAAAGTCATTTACTAAGACATTTATAAATTTAATGTATTTAGATTCAGTACTATACTTTATGCTTCTTTTTTCCCTCATTATTAGATATAGACTCTAATATAAGAAAATCATTATTTGGCTAAAATTGAAACTACAAAGCATTGTTTCAGCATAATCTATATAAAAAAATGGTAATAGCACTAGATATAAGAAGATTATACAGTGAAAAGTCGTTAATCCGGACTTGTAGGGACTTTGGCGATTCCGGATTATTGATTTTTCCGGTTTATAGATCATCAGTTTAAATCTGGTAAGATGGCATGCAGAAATTATAAAATTAAAAATATATGAACCATAATGTATGAAATAAAGAACAATTATGATCTAAAGGGTATCAAAATTTACAAAAAAAAAAAAGCTTAATATTTATTTGTTTACTTTATTAAACATTTCTTTCAATGTAAGTTGTTTAAGTTGCTTCTTCATTTTTTATATGATAATACATTCTCTTTAATTCTATAAACAGACATAATTTCTTGTTCAGTTACAAAGTTCCGCTGTTCAAGTCCTATAATTGCTGTGTCGAGAATACCGACTAATTTGTCAATCGAAATTTTTTCGTTTTCAATAACCTCTGTCACTTTCTTCGCTATTGAAAGCAAATTATAATGATGAGGAATTTGATTTAAATCATATCAAAGACGGAGTACATCGAGATGAAATACTACATTTAGTAAGGAATTATAAGCCAAATAAAATAAAAACATCTGCCCTGAAGATAGGGATAGTGCTGACAGATCAGCTTCCAATTCATTGCGTGCCGCCGCAGCATTAAAGATAAACAAAGTTTAGATAAACAAACGTTAAAGTTAGATAAACAAAAGATATGTTTTTATCCATTTTTTGCAGCAATTCCACTTTTTGTTTAATGGACTTCGAAACATACTTTCGCTTTGTAGATCCTTTGCATATTAGTAAATATATATCAGAAATTCTATTTGACATAATCGAAAGTTCAAGCTTACTTTTATAAAATTGCTCTAACAGTCTGCAAAAAATAATAAGCTGAATCCAATTCGAAAATTAAGGAACAACGCAATCTGCAACTTTAACTGAATTAGATAATTTTAGCTTAGCTCATACCGTCTGTTATACATTAAATGCGCATTCGTAAATGTATTTTGCGCACGCGTATTCGCAGCCGTAAAGGTCTTACGCGCATTGACGCATACGCAGAAAGTTTGTAGCTTTGAGGTCCGGATTATACATCATTCCGAATTATGGGTGTCCAAATCAACGACTTTTGACTGTAATAAGTAAATAATTTTATTAAACTCAATTGAAAAGCCTTGAAGATTTAGAATCAGATAATTGTTTAAGCCTGTTCCCCCCCCCCAAACTGTGTGTCCTTCACGTTGAATTCTGTTTTTATAAGCTCTTCAAAACAGGAATTAGCTGGCTTGTGAAATATTCTTTAGCACTATGTGCATGACATATTTCATTCCCTCATCTGAAGAGAACTTCTTCCTGCATAATTGCCTTTTCAATATTGAGAAGACTCATAAATCATATGTCATTAAGTTTATGTTATATGCAGAATGCTATAGTATTGACAGATGAATTTCAGACATTGGTACCAAAGCCACAGCTGCAATATGCTTCTAAGCATGTCCTGGTGTAAAACCACTTAAAATATTTTTTAATAGTTTGTCTTTACTATTTGGCCATGGATGTGCAGTGTTGACGTTGTGACAAAGGATAACCTATCAGAATATGCTTTATCAGTCACCTGCATGTTACCACCTTGAAATGCTTTTATCATTTAAGTAATAAAACACTTAAAATATTATAGAATGTATATATTTTATGTGTCATATCCATACTGTATAATTTTAAGTGTTCCCCCCCCAAAATTGTGGTTTTAGCAGTAAATGTAAAATTCAATCTCATTTCTGCTGTAAAGTCATAAAGATATCTTCCTTGCTTGCCATGACAAAACATACTAGATGCTTTCACACACTGCAACCACATACTGAAGGCTGTCCAACTGCAGCTTCAAGACACTGATGTAAAACGATAGGAGGATAGAATACTAGATGAGGAAGAAAAAAGCAAATGCTTTAAGCTAAAAACTGGCAGGAATCAAATAAAATCCTGTAGATCTTTAGTTACTGTTGGTCATGCAAAATAGAAAGCGGACAGATATAAAAAGGATGATGATGTGCTTGCTGTTGCTATGGTATTTTTTTCTGTATTGATTGTGTCTGTTGTTAGATGCACAAAATTTTCCTCATATGTGTTTGATATTTCAGCTTGAAATATTTTTGAAGTGGTTGCCTCTTCTTGGGTTTTGCGCAGTAACTATCATAGACAGTGCAGGATTTATATATATAAGCTACACAAGCTGTAGCTTAAGGCCCCCACTTTCTTGCCCCCCCCGGCCCAAAAATTGTCTGTTTATTATTTAAAATAATAAACTGCAGTATTGGAAAAATGTTCTTGAATGAGTTTTGGTAGTCATAATTACTATGGCAGAACATGGTTTACCTCTCAGAGGAGATAAGGAATTTTTTGGTTCTCCTCACAATGGCAATTTCCTTGGATTACACAAACTTATATCAAAATTTGATCCTTTTCTAGCAAGCCATATAAAAAAATTGCAATAAAGGATCAGGTGTCACATCTTACCTTTCTAAAGCAATATGTGATGAATTTATCCAAATTATGTCACATAAAGTAAGAGACTCAATCTTGTATGATTTAAGAACTGTAGGATACTTCAATTTATCTGTAGATTCCACTCTAAACTGGTCCCATATTGATCAGCTCACTGTTATTGTGAGGTATGTTTCACCAGATGATGGGCTCCCTGTTGAACATTTTCTAGCTCTCCTAGAAATGGGTAGCCATACAGGGGTAAATATGGCTAAGATGGTGTACAACAAGAAGATTTGGGCATTCCCTGCTCCGTGAACTCAATCACACTACAGGTCCACTTCTCCTTTGGGCACTTCGTGGAGGTTCAACCTCCACTATTACTCTTCCAGGGGAGCAGTGCACCACCTGGATAAGACACCAGGCAGCACTGGTTGTCAGTTGCTCCTGCCAGTCGCGTGAGCGAGCCCGGCGCAGAGGGCCGTTACCCAGCAAACTGGGGGGAGACCCCCCCTGGCTACGGATCCAACTGCTCAGGACATGCCAGACCCCGAGGCCTGCCAATGAGTGACCTTTCCTGGGGCCTTCAAAACCACCAAGTTCATAAATTTTATACCCCGTGGCCGAGACTGCCTAGGTACAGATCCTAGCCAGTAGCTTCGCAGAATTGTCTACGTTGACACCGGGGGAGGGGGGAGAGATGGCATACAACTACCTTTTTTTTTTTTTTACAAATGAGTGCAAAATAGATTTTAGTAAGTGTCAAGGCCAGTCGCATGATAATGCTACCAATACGTCTGGCAAATACAAGGGTATGCAAAAAATTAATATTGAAAATTAACAAATATGCTATGAATATTCCGTGTGCTGGTCATTCCCTGTATCTTGTTGGTAGAGCAGCAGTTGACTTGTTTAGATGAAGTAAACTTTATTTGAATTGTTCAAGAACTATATAATTTCTTTTCATCATCTACACATAGATGGGCAGTACTGTTGTCATTCTTCAAAGGTGATTCAAAAGTTCCGAAGTCTTTGTCATAGACTAGATGGCAAGCATATTCAATGGCAACAAGTACAATACTTTATAGTTATGATGGAATAATTTCTGCATTGCATCAGCTGCATATTGATACTACAGAGAAAGATGAAACAAGAAATCAAGCCATAAACATTTTGAATACAATGGAGGAGCTTGAATTTATGGTAAAGTTGTATTTGCTGGATGAATTTCACAAGACTAGACAGTTACTGCAAGACCCCCAAATTAGTCTAGACATATGTAGTAAATTGTATACTTCACTCTCGAATTTTGTTAAAGGATCATTTTAAAGAAAAAGCAAAGAAAAAATTGCTTGATTTTGATTACAAGAAAAGCAGATATAGAGGAAGGCATATCATTGATGATGAAGATGGTGCTTTAAAGTTTGTTGAGTCAAGAGCCAAGTTCAGAATCAAAACATTTATACCTGTGATGGATGCATTAGAATCAAGTCTGACGCAGAGTGCCTCAGTATGCAATGTTGCTTCAAAAAAGTTTTCATTCTTAGCAAAATTAGAAGGTACAGAGGAAGAGATTTGTGAAGGAGTTAGTGCTTTATGCCAAACATATTCTGAAGATGTGGACATAAATCTTTTAGGAGACATCAAGCATTTTCATCAGTATGATAGACATAGTCATCAAGCCTATGTCTAACATACTGATGAAACTATGTCATGATACATGAATTCTGTGTCATGATACATGTGATAGTATCAGACTATTCAGCAGAACTTGATAGTCTGACACATCAGGATCTGTATAGGATAATATTACCGTGTCCCCAATCAACATTCCCTAATGCAGAAGCAATTTTGAGATTATTTCTTAATATGATGGTTGCAAATTGCTCTGGAGAAAGATCTTTTTCTCGGCTGAAGAGGATAAAAAATGAATTTAGAACAAAGACTCAGGATAAATTATGTTCCCTCAGTCTCATGTGCATAGAAAGTGACAAACTATGCAGTTTATTATTTGATGATGTCACCAGTGACTTTGCTCTGGCAAAGGCAAGAAATAAAATATTTTATTTAGTTATAACATGTTATAACATATTTCAAGAGATTAAATAATAAGCCTTTGTAAATTGTCCCTTTGAAAAGAACTTTTGTTTCTTTTTACCCAGAGTTTGCATGTATAAGTTTATTATGAGTAAAAATGATTTTAAGTTAAATACTTATTATTTCACTATCTGTATACTTCTTAATTGTATTTCAATGTAACCCTTTAGGTATCCAAAAATCGTATTTGGCACTGGCATATAATATCTGGACTTATAAAGGCCTCATATGTCAAATAGCTTAGGGCTTTATCAAGTCTAAATCCGGCCCTAAGTCATGGGAGAAGGTGCTGGTTTTGAAAATCCAAGATACATATCCATGATTTTTTAGCAATGTTTTGCGGGATTCTTCATTAGTTTTTGTCTCTTTTCTCAAAGTTTCTATGCACCTCCTTTGATTTTTCGTTATCCGTTCTGTATACCTAAAAAGTAGTGTTAAAAAAAAAAAAAAAAAAAATTCAACTGCAGTATTTTTGTCATCAACTTATGTTATTCAGTGATTCAGTAAAATTCGCTAGAAAGTATTTTAATTACAGTTATAATGGAATATTTTCAATTTCACAATTAAATTAGAATGTGACTGTACTGTAGTTTCATAAATCTACTTTACAAGTGTCAACTATAGGCTCTACTCTACCCCTACCCTACAGCCTACAGCTACCGTATCTCACGTGAATTTGAGTGCGACATGCGCGTTGCACATCCATGTCTCCACGCGCTGGGCTGTCTCGCCAAGTTCTCTGTGTTGTTTTGATCGTTGGAGTTTCTTGATTGGCCCGAAATCACCTCCTGCCCACTGGGCATCTGCCTGGTTTTCCGCCTACCCTATCCGCCACTGACCACAAATAGTCTTGAAGCCTTCCCTTGTGGTTTGCCTAGATTTCCAATAAAGACAAAAAATAAAATTCAAGTTAACTCCATATATCACATTATAGATGAAAATCTCTATCTAAAAAAAAAAGTTTAGAAACTGTACATCTATGACTTTTTATTGGAAGATTATTCTGTTGTAATATATTTTATGAAGTTTATTACCAGCTATTAAAGTGTTTTCTGCTAGAGTGCTGTTGATAGCAACAATACTCTAGCAATAGACACTTTAGTCTTTGAGAGATTTAAAGCACTATGACTGTGGTGTTTCTTACCAGCATATATCCAAACATAGAACATCTGTACAAGAATTGGCAGGTTCGTCCATCTCATTAATATAATAACATTTATTTATAGTTAATAAAATTAAGATTACCCAAACTCGATTATAATGAATTATTATAAACGAATATAAATTTTGTTCTGTTAATTTAATTACCTAATACCAATATAAAATTTAATGAATTTTATTTTAAAAATATATGTTTACTTGTAATAACATATGCCAAAAGAATTGCTTTCGAAAACGACAAGAGTCAAGTGGTCTTCAGAACATTCTACCTTGTAAAAGTGGACCTCATGTGAAAAAAGTTTGAGAAGCATTACCTTGTATAATTAATCACGTACCAGTTTCATTTTTATGCCATATTGTGACCAAAAATAAGCATATTTTTATTAAAAATTTTGTATTCAAGTAGATAACATACATTCAAATCAGCAGTCAAAACTGTTTCAAGTATTGCATTTATTAATTTAAGATAATTTTGAATTTCTGTGAAAATAAGGTATTTTTACTTAAAGTTGGCTTTTTTTCTCTGACGAAGATGCGTAACTGAAAAGAACATTTTACAGGAGATTAATGTTAAGAAAAAATATGTATTTTTAAATACTTGCATATTTATTTCTTTTCAAAATTCAACTCTGATATGATATATTTTAAAACATGGAGATAAGCAGAGTCCAATATCATAATCAGCATGAAAATACCTGGTTTCTTTTTTGACGCGTTTTCTGCTGTCATTCCTTTTCAAGCAACACACAAAGCCTAAACGAAAAGCAGTAAAGCCTGTCATTGAACCAGGGGCGTAGCTAGAGGGGGGCAAGGGGGACATCTCTCCTGGGGCGCAGAATCCAAGGGGTGCCAAACTGATGTTACGACATTTTAGAATTAAATGTTTTCCATCCTTGGCAAGCAGTAGGGGGCGCGAAATCGTCAGTTGTCCCTGGGCGTTGAGAACCCTAGCTACGACTCTGCATTGAACTAGTTTAACATTCCAGTCTCAACTGGACTACTAGAGACATTTATTTGAAACACTTCAAAGTAAAAAAAAAAAAAAAGTGAAAAGTCGGGCAAATCAGTGGATTGGTGTAGCAAAATATACTTTTTTTTCCCACAATGGCAGGCACTTGCCTATAACGACATTGGCCACTCTTAAGGCCGGAAGTGGTGGCCATTTTATTGTTGAGGCATCTAACAGGTGGCCACCATTACCTCCTCTGAAGGGACAGATAATTTTACATCCACGCCTTCTCCTGGATTCAAACCTGGTCCCTTCGGTATTGCAGTCAGGCTACTCTAACCACTTTACTGTCTGGGTGGAATGAAAATATACTGCCCGCGCAGTGTACGGACAAATCACGGAAGTTCCATTTTTTGGCCCCCAAATGGTGCTCAGGCAAAACTTTTAAGTGATTAAGTCAATTCTAATCAAAGCACACTGTTGTGATAACTTGGTTGTGCCATCATGTATAAAGAAGTTAATATTATTTTGAGTTTTAATTTACTTTACTCTTAGTCTGTTATCTTTCCTGAAGTCAAATCATCAAAATATTAATTAACAGATGTTGCTGTTTGTAGGAGAAAAATCCTTTTATAAGGATTTAAGATTAGATTAATTAATTATGACAAAATTTGCAAGTACTGTCACCTTTACTGTAAAGAAATGTACATTGCTGTTATAATCTAAAGATGGGCATAGCACCACATCAATAGTATGAAATTTTAAATATATATGATGTTAGAATCAGTTGTTTCATGAAACTGGTCAAGTTCTCCATTCATTTCATTTTTAATTTGTATTAATATCTAATCTGTAAAGAAAGGGAAGGGGAAAAAAAGAGAAATGAGGGACATTCATTTTTAATTATCTGTTTCATTATATTTTTATTTCTTTTTTATTATTTTGAGCATCAAATAGTATTTATTTCTCCTAATTATTCATTCCTTTTTATACATTTGTATTAAAGTGTTCATTCTGCACAGTTATCTAGTTGACACTTTTCTTCATTCATGTAAATCTAGAAAAGTGCCTCATAGGTAATTGTGCCTGTTGAAAGATAAATTTCTTATGGAATTTTTTGTTTTAATTTTTTTGATAAATTATATCTTTTTGTTATATATTGAATGATTAATACATACTTTCCTTGCAGATTGATAATACTCTAGCTACTTCAGTTGTAGACATTGGAGGACACAGTAAACCTGTGAATACAGTTGATTGGTCTACAGCAATGGAAAGTAGTACTTGTATTTGTGGTACTATTGATGGGAATGTTATTGTGAGCACTTTATTAAATCATTGATACTTTGAAATGGCAAAGAAGAAACTCATTCAACTACATTCCATACTTTTGTACATTATGTCAGAATTGAAATTATTTATGTTTTTTATATTGTATGTTACATAAGAGTTTCCATTTATTTTTATTAAAAAATTGATTTACTTTGTATCTAAAATTCATTGTTCTTTCGTCTAATAAGATTAGTTAAATAACTAATAAATTACCTCCTTCCTCATTAAGAAAGTTACACTATTTACATAAAAATGCAAATAGTTGTATCATACTATTTTAATTACAACTAAATATCTATTATCAATGTATAATTCAATTCTAAATTAATTTAAATGTTAGATATGAAATAACTTATTATTATCATAAGTACAAATAAGTCTCTGCCCTTTATTTATTAAAAATTGGGCATTTATTGTGAAAGTACAGTACATTAAGTTTTATTCAAAATATTGTCCATCATTAGCCACTACTTCTTCCCATCTTTCTAGCAGCATACCTATACCGCATTGGAAGAATGCTTCAGCTTTCGAGGCTATCCCACAAATCAACAAAATTTTAGTAATTTAATATGATATGAAGTGCCGCTGAGACAGGCTATGCATCATCAATCAAAGCAATTAGATTGATGCAATCAAAGCATCAATCTAATTAGAAGGAGCAATTTCTGGTGAATACAGTGGGAGGGGAAAAACTTCTCATTTGAGTGTTTCCATGTAAGTTTTGACCAGCATCACAAAATGTGGATGCCAGGGTTCATACGGTCCTTAAAAGTCCTTAATTTTTTCAGAAATGATTTTTAGTCCTTAAAAGTCCTTAATTTTGCTCATTTGACATTTCTTATCATTTCTAATGATTGCCATTCTAAGTGTCAATTGCGAATTTCTTCATGAATATGGAAATTAAAATTACACGACTCTTAACCAATCTGTTGGCGGATTTGCATTGCAAACGATAAAAAAGAAACAATTAGCCTAGCCTCGAATGAAAGTATCAGGGGTCTGATTGGCTATTCACCCAATGTTTTGAAACAGGTGTTATCCATAAATTTAGGCAGATTGTGACGAAAGCGTGGAAGCTGGAAGTTCTTTAAGAGGCGAAAGTGATGATGAAGGTGCTCGAAAAAAAAAAGGGGGGGGATTCTGAAAATATTTGCCAAAATTAGAAGCAATCCCAACCTGGAAGGCCACAACCCTTCCGGACGCCAATAGGAACGAAGATGCCTGGAAAAGTGCATTTTCAATAAACTGTGGCTTCATCAAGCTGACTACAAAGACTGGATATTGATGGATGACAAAGCTCCTTATAAAGCTAAATGGGGTCTTTTGTCTGAAACAAATTGAAATTTCTAGAATGGGAGAGTCAGCGCTGAAAATTCACATGAAAATTAAGTTTCGTTTTATCATTTGTTTCAATTTGTTTTTACAGCGGTTTTGCTTAGCCTTAATTTCTGTGTTTGTTTCAATTAAGCCATAAATTAATTTTTTATCACCTTCTACGGAGTTTATTCTCTTTTGCACATACTATATGTATGGGATATCGGGATTATCAGTTTTTTTCAGCAGCTTGTCTGTTATCGAATTTCGCGAGGAAATCTGTTGGCTCCATTTTGACTTTAGGTTGCCAAGGGCAAATTCGGTAACGCTAGCCGAGAAAAAGTGAGTTTGGAAATACGTTTTTGAAGCTTCAATAGAGACAATTAAGTATTTGGTTTAAAACCTATGTTGTTGATAGTAATGCATAATTTTTGCTAATGGCGAACATTATTAGTTTGAAAATAACTAACTAATTAAAAAATTTTTAATATTTTTAAAGCTGAAAACAACTAATTGAAACTAATTTTCCCTGAATTAACTAGACGCAAAACTAACTTTCATGAATTACTAAAGTTATTGGTCAAGTTTAACTGAAAATATACATTCCGTATTATATATATACAGTACAAAGTCCGAGGACTCGTCGGACTTCGGCGATCCCGGATATTAGATCATTTTTAATCTACTAAGATGCACGTAGAAATTAGAAAAATCGAAAATATGAAATCATGATTTATGAAATATTAAGCATTTATGATTTAAAGGTATCAAAATTTACAAAAGAAAAGAGCATAATATTTATATGTTTACTTTATTAAACATTTTCTTTCAATGTGAGTTGTTGATTTTTTTTTCTCTGCTAATACTTAGACTAATACTATAGATATAATTTCTTGTTCAGTTATTGAGTTCCATTGTTCAGTCCCTGTAATTGCTGTGTCGAGAATTCCGAAACTTGTCATCAAAATTTTTCTCGTTCAGTAAACTCTCTGTACTTCTTTCTTCACTATCGTAGCTGTATTTTCGGATGTAGAACCATACTACAGATTTCGCCCTCCGTTAATCGATTGATGATTGGCATTGTCATCGCAATGAAAACTTCTGTTTAACTTCGCTAAATTCCGCCGCCTGGTGCGCCCATGCTAGCTCTGGCGCTGGTTCTGGCTTTATGTGAATACAAATCGGTTTATTCTTATTCAGATAGCACTAATATAATCGTTTGTCCTATGATATCATTAACAAATCTATTTTTAGTATAACGAAAGAATTTTCTGCTAAATCTCCCCTTGTCAACATTTTAGCGCATTAAACTTAAATCTGTATCGGAATACTCTGTTATTTGGCGTCGCTGCATGATTCATCACTCAAGTTGTCCATCCGTTGATAAACATGCGGTGATGAAAGCAAAAAACATAAATAATGATTCGCAATTTCGGCTCAAGGATAAAATATTAGTTTGGGTAAATTAACAATGTTTCGGTTTGAGATTATGCCAATCAGATACGCAGCTATGGAGTCAAGTTACTAAGCACCAAATTTATGCTAAAAATTATTTTCTTCATAATGAGATATTTTATTTAGCGCCAAACTGAGATTAAGAATCGGGATTTCCGGCATTTTTTTTATGATGAAGAAAAAAATCTAATGCGCATGCGTAAGCATACCCCTTCCCCTTCAAAAAAGCCCTAAAAATTGGTTGATGGTGGCTTTGAGGTCCGGATTTTAGATCATTCCAGATATTGGATGTCCGGATCTCGGACTTTGTACTGTATATATATATACATCTTTCAAATATAACTTACCACTATGGATTCACCTTTTAAAATAATTCTACTTTAATTAAACTAGGAGATAATATAATCATCAATATTGTTTAGGAAATAAATTATATATATATATAGTAAAAAATGTATATTTTCACTTTCAAGTATTCCTGAGACAATTTCTTATCTTGTCACATGAACAGGCCTCTGTGGAAGGGGCTTCTCTGTAATAAAGAATTGAAATTAAAATTAAGTGACTCATCATACATTTCAACGCACAGTATCTGATTACATAAAATTTTCTGGAGGTGTTCTTAATATCGAAATTAATAAAGAAATAGATCAGCAGCTTCTGCAAGAAGTGGAGTTCGTTATTTAGAAGTTCAGTATTAGAAAACAAAAATCTTTACTAATCTGAAAATTCAAAGAGGAAAGAAATATTATTGAGGAAGAAATTGATTATATGAGCAGAAGAAAAAATTTCTTCAAAGGGACATAAAGATATTAATGAAGAAGTAGATGCTTTAGCAGATGAAGCTGAGACCAGCAGAACATTGATTTTTTATCAAAGCAAATGAACTTAGAAGAATAGTTTAAAGAAAAGGAAATAGACATAATAAATTAGATGTTAAAATAGCTGAAAAGATTTCAGATTTAAAAAAGCACAAATGTTTTTTGTATTTTTTATTATTGTACAGTTTATTATTCTAGTATCTTTCAAAAACCAAGGAAAAAATTGTATGTTTACAAATCAGTTATTTTAATCTGCAAAATATTCTTACATTGTGATTATAATAGTAGTTGACTGTGTTTAAATAAATATCAATAAGTTAAAATAATAATCATGTAAATCTCTAAAATAGTGACTGTTATTAGTGTAAATACACCTTATACATGTTTTTCAAGAAATTATGTTCCTATTTAATGTTATCTACTTCATAACTCATAGTTAGTTTAATTTTCAAAATTGTTTTATGTTAAGTATTAAATTGAATTTAATAATAGTGCATAATACACATTTCTGTTAGTTTCATAAATGGATAATTGCTTTATTCTATTCATTTCTTTTTTGTTTGTTTGTTTGCTGATAGGTCCTTAATTTTTTCTTTGATGGTCCTTAAAAGTCCTTAATTTTCATGTAAGGAAATGTGTACGAACCCTGGATGTGCATTATCATGCAGGAGAGTAATTTTGTCATGTTTGGAGTAGTAGTGGGCACATTTTTCTCTGAGTGCTCAGCTTAGTCTCATCAACTGTGTTCAATAGAGAGCCCCAGTAGTAATAGTTTTTTTCAGTTTGAACAACTCATAACGCATGACACCAAATTGATCCCACCATATACACATGATTTTTTTCCATGAATATTTGACTTGGCTATCGATGTTGAAGCATGGCCCGGTGGTCCCCATAATTTCTTCTCTTGTTTATTGTAGTGGATCCTTTTTTTATCACTAGTGAGTATACAATGCAAAAAACACTTTCATTTATGCCCTACAAGCACCATTTCACATGTAAATCAGGGTTCAATGCTTCTTGGCTTCAGTTCATATGAATATCCTTGCTTTTGAATCATTTGCATTGATTTTAATAATGTGGAATTGCTTGTTGGGTCACTTCTAATGCAAGTTCAAGTTCTATTTGCATTCCAACAATGTTTCCAATTCTGCATCTTCATACACGTTCATTCTTTCACTACATTCTTTCTCTTCTATATCCAATTCACCATTCTTAAAATTTTGAAATCACTCATGACAACTTCTCTCATATAAGGCAGCTTCACCACATGCTTCTACAAGCAATCAATGTATCTCAATTGCAGATTTCTTCAAATTAAAGAAGTAAATCAAAAGTTCCTGCAAATGATGCACATTCATCTCAAAAGTTGACATTTTCACATACAAAAAAGTATATGATGCTGATACAAAATTGCTAATATTTCAAGGTTATGTTGTTAGCAGATTTCCAACTCTATTTTATGACATTTTACATTGGACAATTTTAACCATAACTTACTGGTGGCACCACTTTTTTAAACGGTGTAGAATTATTTGTACTCCCAATGTGTTATGCATTGTAGTTACATGCAG